CCGTCACAGGGACACATAGAAACAAACAAGAAACACTCACACCTAGGGAGAATTTAGAGTTTTAATGAGAGGAGGTAGAAGAGATCATATCTCTCCAGTTTTAGCTTCTCTCCATCGACTCCCTGTCAAATCCAGAATTTAATTCAAAATCTTACTTCTAACCTACAAAGCTCTCAACAACTTTTTTTTTTTTTTTTTCCATTTAGCCTTTATTTATACAGATAGTCTCAATGAGCCACGATAACTCATTTTCAAGAGAGACCCGTTTAGGGAGCACATGGTGGGGATTAAGGGCCTTGCTCATGGGCCCAGACTTACAACTTAGCTCCATATTATATTACAGAATATAGCACTTCACTCTCAAGACTGCAGGTTTACTTGTGTTTCCTGGAGTTTCCACAAGTTGACTCTGCTGCTGTTTTTAGTTGCTCTACTCAACCTGTTTGTATTTGTAATTATTTCTATCTTTAACGTGTTTTTTTTTTTGGTCCTTCTTCTAATAGACAGTACACCTGGACCTGTTTTTTTGGTTTATCTGTTTCTCCTTCCTGTCATCTCAAACCCCAGCCGGTCGAAGTAGATGGACGATTGTCCTGAGCCTGATTCTGCTGGAGGTTTCTTCCTGCTAAAAGGGAGTTTTTCCTTTCCACTGTTGCCTTTGTGCTTGCTCAAGATGGGAGACTGTGACAAAGTGAAAATTCAACGCAATCTTTTACTAATTGGCTTTTATAATGTATGTGAATGTTTTTGTATACAAGAGTTCAATGAGATATGACTTCTGTTGTGACTTGGTGCTATATAATCTTACCACCATATATGTCTTAGCTGCTTCAGCTTTACTGCCCTCCCCGATCCCTAAGATCAGCTGATCGGTTGCTGCTGACAGTCCCTAAAACTAGGCTGAAACTCAGAAGTGACTGCGTTTGCTGTTGCTGCTTCCAGGTTGTGGAACAAATTAAGCCCCCAGTATACTCCCGCGTACGTCCATACGTGGAGGTACGAGCATACCTTCCAGGGCATGCCCGTGCAAAGCTCAATATTTATGACCGCGTACGCAGCGTCGCACAATAAACTGCCCAGCGATGGACTGTTTTGACTGAAATGGAAAGAAATGAAGGAATTTGCTACGAGCGAATTAAACTCAGGTCCAGCATGGCTGCGGGAGTGTCTGGAGATTTCCTGGTGGGCTGATCTGATGTGTGGGCTGCAGAGCCAGTGGTCCCTGTTTTTTTTATTTTTATTTTTATAACTTTTTATTAACAACATATAAACACAGAACACCGCTGCGGCTGAGGCTGCCAGCACTCGTTTTTTCCCCCCGACCTGTCAATCAATCCAGTAGGCGTGTCAGCAAATGACCAATCGGCGACCTCAATTTGTCCCAAAGGTAAACGCCCCTCGTCTGTGAAGCTGCTCTGCAGCTGCTCAGGGTGTACGCTCGAGTATGAAGTCTGAACCCTCTGCGTACAGTACACGCGTACGTCCGTTCACACGTACGTACGCGGGAGTATACTGAAGGCTTTACCCTTGAGTGTCAGACAGGCCTCCTCTCTTCCTGTTTTTAAATCTCTTTTAAAAACACAATTTTATTCTTTGGCTTTCAACACGTGATCTTATCTTTTATGGCATCTTAAAACACACCTGCCGTGAAACTGGTATGTGTATGTTTTTATGTTTCTTTGTGTATGCTTTGTTTTTATTGTCTTAATCTATTTGTTTTGTCTTATTGTACTGCCCTTTGGCTACCCTTGCGGTTTTTAAAATGTGCTATAGAAATAAAGTTGATTGATTGATTGATAAATAAACTAAACTGAACTGAATTACCAGTTGATTTCACATGTATGTTTTTGACCTGTAGGAGGAAAGCCACACATGCATGGGGAGAACATGTTAATTCCATGCAGAAAGGTCCCAGGCCTGGAGGTGAACTTGCAACCCTCTTGGTGAGACGCAATAGCTATAACTATTGCTCCACTGTGTCAACTGGACATTTAAAAAACCCAATATTATTAATTACTTTTTTTTTAAACAAAACTACAAAACTAAACATAAATGTGACTGAATGACTTTAATAATCCTCATGTAGAAAGTGTGCAAATACTGTAGATATATTTGAACTTCTAAGCCCACTATCACAGGCCATAAAAGTTTATAAATTTCTGTCCTCTGGGAAGCCACACATCGAGTGCAGTATATATAGAGTAACCAAGATGAAAGCTAACCAACAAAGGGCAGTAACCATTTCTGAGAGCACATACCCACAGTGTGGGTAATAATGCACTACTGGAGTGGGGAATGGTGTGTGTGCATGTGCATGTGTGTGTGTGGGGGGGGGGGGGGGGGGGGGGGGGGGTGCTTGGACTGAGAGCCTTTAGACCAAAATAAAAAATAAAAAAAATCCAGCAGATATATTCTATACAATTCACAGAGAAGTACGAGCAAAAAACAAGGGCACAGGATTATTAACAGAATATATTTAGCAAATGCCATACTGTCTGCATGTAGCTGGACATACTTCTGTTTTTCATGGTATACAGTTTAAACATGCCACAAAAGGAACAGCATAGTTGGAATTGATGAAAACCCAAAAAGCCTTTAAAAGTCATATCTGTGATTTGGCATGTGCAAGACCTCCTCCTGTTTGAATACGAGTTCTTCTTCTTTCAGCTTTTCTCTCCTCAGGGTTTGAGGTCAGTGTGAGTCATCCTCCTCCATCTCACTCCGTCCTCATATCAACCATTCCATGTCCTCTCTAACTGCATAAATATCTCCTGTTTGGCCTTCCTCTTTGTCTTTTTCCTGGCAGCTGCATTTCCAACATGATTATATCAATATACCCACTGTCCCTCCTCTGGACGTGTCCAAACCATCTCAGTCTGGCCTCTCTAACTTTATCTCCCAGTCCTTCAACATGTGCTGTACCTCTGATGATCTCATTCCTAATCTTATCTATCTTTGTCCCTCCTAAGGAGAACCTTAACATCTTCATTTCTGCCACTTCCAGTTCTTTCTCCTGTCTTTTTGTTAGGCCACTGTCTCCAGACCATACAACATGGCTGGTCTCACCACTGTCTTGTAAACTTATACTTTGACCTTTGCTGGCAACATTTCGTCACAAATCACTCCCAAAACTTTTCTCCATCCTGCCTGGATACTCTTTATCACCTCTTTAGCACAATCCCCATTTTCCTAGACAGTGGACCCCAAGTACTTGAAGTCCTGCACCGCTGTGACCTCTGCTCCTTGTAGCCTCACTGTTCCACCGGCCTCCCTCTCATTCACACACGTACTCCGTCTTACTATGGCTTCATTCCTCTTCTTTCAAGTGCATACCTCCACCTCTCCAAGTTCTCTTCCACCTGTTCTCACCACAGATCACATCATCTGCAAACATCATAGACCACGGGGATTCCTGCCTGACCTCATGTGTTAGTCAGTCCATCACCAGAGCAAAGAAGAAGGGGCTCAGAGCTGATCTTTGATGCAATCCCACCTCCACCTTTAAACTAGTCATCACTCCTACAGCACATCTCACCACTGTCCTGCTGTCCTCATACATGTCTTGTACCAGTTCAACATACTTCTCTGCTACTGCAGATTTCCTCATAAAACACCACACCTCCTCCCTCAGCACCCTGTCATAGGCTTTTTTCTAAATCCACAAATACACAATGGAGTTCTTTCTGACTCTCTCTGCACTTAGCATCCTCAAAGCAAAGATGGCATCTGTGGTGCTCTTTCTCAACATGAAACTATACTGTTGCTCACAAATTGTCACCTTTTGTCCAAGTCTAGCTTCCACGACTCTCTCCTAGATCTTCATCGTGTGGCTCATCAACTTAATTACCATGTAGTCGTGACAACTCTGTGCATCACCCTTGTTCTTAAGAATGAGAACCAGAACACTTCTCCATTTCTCAGGGATTTTCGCACTCTCAACAATGCCATTGAATATTTGAGTCAAAAATCCCACTGCCATCTCTCCTAAACATTTCCAATCCGCCACTTGTATGCCATCAGGTCCAGCTTCCTTCCTGTTCTTCATCCTCTTCAAAGCTCTTCTTGTTTGAATACAGCAATCATAAAAAAAAAAAAAAAACTGTTGACATGGATTAAAGGAGAAAAAAATAATCTTTTGACTGAAATTTTTTCTACGCCTAAAGGTTATCCAACCGACTCTGTCCCCAGAGTATGATTGGGTCAAACTGTGGCTCTGGTTCTCTTTATTGGTTGAAAGCAGCATCAGTTTAATCCCTGTATCATCATTAGATTGGATGGCTTTAACAAGACCACAACAAAAAACAGTATTTTTTTTCACCCTCCTCATTTTTACAGATGACCGAACTCTGTCCTGGCCACGTTTAATGATGGAAATCCGTCATAGCAATGCAGAACTTTAACTTTTTTTTCCCATGTGTTAAAAAAAAAAAGAAGTCTGGTTTCTAAAGTGATTACAGACTCAAAACTCTGAAAAAGAGCAGCTCTGTCAGTTTGTTTTGGAAAGAATTCAGCCTTATTAATATCTCCACTAACCTGGTTCATATCATGCTGCTTTCATTGTAAATGAAAATGGGAATTCCAAACATATCTTTTTTTTCAGAAATAAATAATTTCATATTGCTCTTGGCTTGTGTTTTGCACATCAACTAGAAAAAAAAAATACTCTCAATTTTGTTCTTTCACACCCCCCCCCCCCCCCCCAAGATGCATTTACCAAACATGGCAATTCCAATTTACCTTTTGTTACTGAATGAACCATCAGAGCTTAAATAGAAGTGGACAGAAAAACATAAAACCTCTGTTTTAACCAGTTTTAGCTGGGCAGTGATGGTCAGTGTTTGCTTCTGCACAAAGGTGTTTTAAAAACTTGGACCAGTTCAAAACAAGACTCGACAAAAACTTGAAATGATTATAACTCTTTTGTTCTCTGTAGTGACAAATCTAAACATTTTCCACAAAAATATTTAGTCCAAACAAAACTACAAGCTACATGGGTTTACCTGAGGTTTCTTCATGATCTGGATGAAATACATGTGGTTCTTCATTGGGTAGATAATAATGAGCACATCTCCAAAGTCAGTTGGAATGATGCCACGTCGGTAGTCCCTGGTGTGCTCAGACCACACAATGTGCACCTCGTCATTGCCCAGGTGACGCAGCTGCCAAACAAACAAAATCATCCTAATGAAGGATCTTGCAAGTGCATGTTGTTTTCACTGTTATAGTGATGAACAAAGAAAGACAAGTTTAGATGGATTATAGCATCAGATGAGCTTTATCAAAACTCCCGTTTAAATCTTTTTCACCTCTAGAGAACTGAGGAGTTAAACAAGACTTGAGACACAAATAAGGAAATTAAAAATAAGTAAAAAAATAAATAAATAAAAGTCAGTAAAGATGTCACACAACATGAACTAAATTTCAGCATCAGGTGCAAAAACAAGGTGGCCGTTCACAGATAATGCCCCAAACTCTCAGAAAACACAAGCATCTACTGTACCAGTAAGTCCTTATTTGCACTTTTTTTTTCATTACAAATTTAAATAACAAACACAGAATAGACAAAATTGAGCATTTTAAAAGTAATTCAAATCCAATTAACCATGCCCCCATCAGAGTTTAAATTGCTTCCAATTTCCACTCTATTCATAAATACAAATGAGACTGGACAGGACAAGAAGACATGCCTAAATGACAGGAAATAGGTTGATGCTAGATTATAAAAGGTAAACAGTTACCCTTCCCAAAAGCAAATAAATAAACACAGCTACATTATATTCCCTGGCAAGTGAAGATCGCCTATTAGCTGGTAGTCCAGTGATGTTGAACAAGCATCCTTTCAAATTTCTGGGCTATCATGGACACTGAAAAGTGAGCCTCTTCTCAGAAGAAAACATCTGCCAATGTTCTGTTGGACTAATGAGCCATTAAGAAACATGCCCTCGCCAACAAAAAATGCAATTAGCACATTCTATTATAAGCCCTTAATTATGGTAATACGATAATCTTAAACAAATCCACGGCGTGCTGATTATTAAAGCTTGCCAGTTCAGTCTGTCTGTCCAAGGATCAGCAGGTACCAACCAGGTCAGTCACTGGGACAATTTCAGAGAAAATGTTGAATATGCATTTGCAGCAGACAATTAACACTGGGATGTTAATTTGGGTTAAGATATTAGCATTTGGATGAGCTGGATGAGCTCTGAATGACAAGTTTAATGAGGATGCTTATGCTTGAGTCAATCATCTTCTGCACAAATCTATTTACCCCCTTGTTAATCACATTCAAATGTTTGAGACTTCTTTAATAAAATGTGATCCAAGTCAAAGACTCTTGTCCAATTATCCCTCTTTGACCTCCCATCCAACCAGTGGGCTTCACACACATGGAAACAGAAAACCAGAGGACCCCAGAACAAAAGAGGCTCCTTATAAAAACAACCTGCAGCAGCCCAGTTAAGCTGTAGTGCCTGAGGGTGAGTGTGATAGCGAAGGCACCCGTCTATCTCCCTCTCTTTCACACACAAGCACATAAGTCTACATGGCCTGACCCCCAACCCTGCAGGTCGCTTCTATAACCCCATTACTGAAGCCAGCTGCTACTGCTGCAGCTTGCACTGCCTTGAAACCCAAAATTGGATTCAGGAATTCATAGTTTTCCCCCTTTTTCTTTTTGGGTTAGTTATTTTTTTTCCCTTTCATCGTCTTCAAACAGGCAGTCTGCTCAGCAAGAGCTACCCCATCCATCGCTCCCCCACAGAATGCTCCTATGGTTACAGGCGGTAAAGTGGGTGACTGCTGGACTAAGTGTTATTTTTAAATTGACAGAGAAACATCCTACTTATACAAAGACAAAGCCTCCTTCTCATTCCAATTCTTCATACTACTTCTCTGGTCATTTCCTTCCTGTCTTTTTTGAAAAGCATTTGTCCAAGAAGCCAGCCTGCCAATTTTTTGTCTGAACTGTGGCTGGTGTGGGGATCCGAGTAAGGTGAGCCTGAGCAATTACAGAAGTTTCTGGTGAAATATATGAAAGTGGAGTGGCACCTCACCCTGCCCTGTGCATTGGCACCCTCCAGTGCCTCACTCTGGTTAAGTTTAGACAAAACTCTTGCCACAAACTAAATTTGTGGATTTAAAAGTGGCTTCAGAATGGGTTTGGAATGAGAAGTGTACTTTAAAAAAATGGAGGGGGGGGGGGGGGGGTCTGTTGAGGGTAGTTCAGTGGTTAGATATAAGTACAGCCTGATGAATTTCCCTTCCCAGCAGGGTATTGTATGAGAAGATTGGCAGTGCAAGCAGGGGCCTTGCGGCTCATTTCTTCGTGCTAACTGCTACTGCTGCACTACAGCTCAGAATCCCACTGCAGAACCCAATCGATTGCTCCTGTGGCGGCAGCAGGAATTGGATAAAAGGATCCTGCCGGCATCCGGCCGGCGCCTGCCCTAGCAGGGAGAGCTAATGGCTGAATCTAGGCCCTGGTCACAGCACACAGGGAGGGGGGCAAGGGCTGGCAGAATCATAGTCATTACCACAGCGGCACATGCCCTCTCTTCACTCACGCGCCTGCGATTCTCTACTCCTCAGGCCTTCCTGACCAGGGTCACTAATCAATGCCCGTACTCTGGAGTCACACTTCCTGATCACAGCTTAACACAGAGCTGAAGGCTACACAATACATTGCTTGGGGCAGGCATGGCTGTGTAGCCATTTCACCGCATCAAATGCATAAAGAAGCATCTACATTGTTCTTTTTGAATCTAAGCATTAAGGTATGTAGTAAGTTTCATACAAAATGCCAACTCAAATAGTAGAGAAAAGTGAGACAGACAAAAAATACAACCAGACCTTTTTACCTTTTTGGTAAGGCTATCATCCGAACCAGATGGCATACGCGTAGATACGTGGAAAATAACTTCCACAGTGGAGGTAGCATAGTAAGGAGCAGTTAGACCTGTGCTGCCATTCCTCTGGAGACCCCCCATAAAGCCACAGTGTGTGGCCAGGTTCACCTGAAGAATACATCGTACAATTTAGTGTATTCAGAGTGTAAATATTGTATAGTTATGTTTAGGCTTGGGATAAAGTGCTATTGGATTTAAAGGTATGATTATTTGCACCTCCCATCCCATTCCAGATACAAAGTCTTCAAAGGCCTGGCTGCCTACAGTGTTGGACAAGATGGAGCACTTATCTTCTTGTCCTTCTCCAATGTAGAATACAGCAATCTTGTGCGTTTCTCGGCTACAAAATAAAACACAAAGTGGAAAAAAAAAAGAATAAATAAAAGACAGAAGGTAATTTAACAAATGTGACAGAACTTGAAAAGACTGACATTGCTTTAGCCTTTTTAATTAAATTATTTTGACATGAGAATCCAAAGATTTAACCCCTCACATCTGCCAAATCAAGATAAACTGTGTGGTTAAGTGTAATTTAACTTGAACAAAATCAGAAGAGGAATTTAAAAAAAAAAAACACACCTATTTGCTAAATGTCTCCACTATTTCTCCAGCTTTAACAAGATTTTTTAAAAAGAAGGCAGGAAAGTATCCCCATCTATTTTCTTTGTTGCCATGGCAGTGCATTGTGCCGGGGTAGGTTTTGGACACTTTGCATGCTTGTGCACAGATTGTTATTGTTCAACTAAGTCTGTCTGAAACAATAAAGTTCAATTCTGAGGGCAATTCTTTATTAGCCTCTTGTCATCAGCAGTGTGGGAAGTGCGTATTGATTAGGGGAAGAGGGACAAAGTAATAGAAAGACAACAAGTGCACTGGTAAGAGATTTTCAGGGGTTGTGGTTAGACGAGGCAGGCATGGAGAAAATGATGGGGTTAGAAGAGAGGAATCATATACTGTTTGAAGAAGCTTTCACCTAGGCTCAAACAGGTATGCCAGAAAGCTGTTTGATGACAGAAAAGGCCCTGAATTACAGGCAATTGCTTGTTCATAGGTATCTCACAAACCTAATATAAGACCTAATTTTTTATAGGACACAGCATAAAACGAAACCTTACCACTGCCTGGAGTCCAAATTCTTCAGCTCCCTTAAAAGTTTAGAGTTTTTCTTCAGCAAATGAAAGCTTTTCCTTGTAGACAAAAAAACAATGTATCAGGGGGTGCTTTCAGTGCTGCATAAAAACACAATTCAAGCATCAGCAAGCCATTAGAGGTATAAATAACAGTTTGCATGTCAAAGCTGTGATACAATTTTTGATTACCAAAAGTAAAATAGACACAGGTGCAAAACACAATCTCCTATTTGACGAGTGTGAGTTGCACCATCACTTTTAAGAGGTGTGTAAGCTTTTAATTTACAGGGCACAGCCGCAAAGATGGGGCTTTGGAGACCTTAGTGAAAACAGCTGGGCACTTTTACCCTGTGGAGAGGAGATTAAGACACTGCAGCCTCCAATGTGCCTTTACTTCCACTCTCTTTAACTAACATGCGAGCAGCTGAGTTACAGTGGTGCTTCAAATGTGTCAATCCACTGAACTTTGTATCTGCATGAATATAACCCAAAACAAAATCAAATGAGAAAAAAGTCCAATTAAAAATGTTGAGTCAAAAAATGGCACATTTGGACATATTTCACTAAAAACACATATATGCAAATCACATTTCTGTAAACTCTGGAAGTATAGGTCTAAGTTTTGCTTTCAGCATTTGATGTGAGTAACTTAAAGCTGAAATTCCCAAAGAATAGTCACAAATAATTGTTATTCTACAAACAAACAAAGAAATAAATAAAAAGTTGGCTTCAATATCCCTTCAAAATTGAAAGCCATTCCAATAGCTTTACATTCTTAAGAGATCACATTAAGTCAAATCAACATACTTTCTATAATATATAATATTATTCCTATTTTTTTAAATTACAATAACTTTACTTAGTTTGGCATTGTGTAATTTTTTGTTTCACGTTTCTTTGGAAACAGCAAATTTTAGGGTTCACACAGTTTCTGGCATCACAATTTGTTGTCTGTTTTCCATTTCCTAATTAATTACATTTAGTTTAGTACATTTATCAGTTTGTAAACAAAATTATAAAAACTACACCACAAAACAAATAATAAACAGGTTTAAACTACTTCACTGCTACTTAGTTCTATCTTCTTTTTTGAATATGTTTTTTTTTTTTTTTTACTGTAGCTGGTTTCAGTTGATAATACCTGCGTTCCCAAGAATTCATGCCAAGATCATTAAGCAGCAGTCGGCAAAAGTAGAAAGGAGCATTTGGTTCCTGGCGAGAAGGTTTCCTCTGGCAGGCAGCCCGAAAGCCTACATCAGCATCCCACTTCCTAACTTGCTCCTCCTCCTGTTGAGTCTGACGGAGAATGGCCTCCAGTATGGTGCTTTCTTGCTCTGAGTTCATGCCATGAGGTGATGGAGCTGGCTGATTGAGCCTGAGGCGTGGTTGAGAGAGGCATTCTGGGCTGCTGTGGCTAAGGTCCTCCAAAAGTTTATCCAGAACATCAAACTCATCATCTTCAAAAGAGTTAGGGAGGGAGGATGAGACATTACTTTTGTATGGTTCTTTTATTGGGGAGGTGGGATGATTTCTGCTATGAGTGCTACAAGTTGGTGAAAGTGGGTGGTCAACTGAATGAAAGACTCCCATATCATCAGACTCATCCTGTGTGGTGCAGTATAAAATGGTGCCATCCCAAGAGTATTTGCCTGAGATATCTCGGACAATGACACGGACTTGTGAGGAAGGGTGAGGGGGCTGACCAACAGTGGGTGTCTCTGCAGGGATTTGAAGGTAGGACACCAATGTACTGTCATTGAAGACAAACAGCTGTAGGTTGGGGCTTTTAAAGACCTCAGAGGACAACTCGGATGACTCCACATAAGGGTTGTCATGGTTTTCGCTCACAAGGCTGTGTAGAAGAGCAGGGCCGCCACTCAGAGGATGGTGGCCAAGATGGTTCACCAGGTGAGTCATGATCATCCGTGCTGTAAGTGGTATCAGCTCCATGTTTCGACGACGCTTTTCTGGTCGGAGCAAAAAGAAAACAGGATTAAAATGCTGTGTTGCCAAAATCTTAAAAACTTAGGGTGAATTTAGAAGACAGGAGCATGCAGCGTCTTTCATCTCATACTCAACACAGAATTTGTTAGCCATGTTTTAAAAGCTCCACATTTGTGTGTAGACATGCCATGATCTCCATTAGTTATTTTTAGGCAAAGCTAAATCTCATTTGTAAATGCTAATAGGGGTACTTCATTCATTTTTCCACTATAGCTTGGTTAGCACACCTCTAAGTACCGTAGGTAGCATCTAATCATAAGAGACAACTTTGAAAAGCCCATTGAGTCTTCTTACAATAGACAAGCACTGAGACTGGCCAAGTGCTAATGAGAACAACCATCTTTACAGGCCGCTGAATAGAACTCTGCTCTGTGGATTGCATTTATGTAAATGCACAGGTTTTTACTCCCAAGTGAAAGGCATGCATTGCTTTATTCTGCAGTGATGTGGGGGAAAAACAAGAAGATGCACTTTTGCATTGTGACAGTGCTATCAATACCATCATCCCTCATCAAAGTGGAGAAAGCTCTTTAGAGAGCAGGCCAAGCTGCATTAGAGATGTGCTGGCCCTTTGATGTGACTTGATCAATATGAGGTGAGGGCATGAATGTAACTAGGACGGCACTCTTTGGTTTGCCCTTTTGATAGTGTTTTGTTATTTCTACTAAGACTCTATGTTGTAGTACTCAAAAAGAAAAAGAAAAAAAACAGATGTGGTAAAATTTCCAGACAAAAAGCTTCTGTTTAAATGCCTTGCATTGTTTCAGTAGACATTTGTACCCCATGTCTCAGCTTTGACAACTTTTTAGAAGTTGAGAACACAAGGTAGAGAGGGCACTATATTGCCTAATGGAATCACAAGGTCATAAAAAGAAAAGAAAAAAGGAAAAAAAAAAAATCAACATTTTTTATCTAAACTCCATAATGGGTCTTCTCTTTACGACTGAGCACTAATGCAAAAATTCCATTCCCCATGATGGTTGATTTTCTTTTCAAACTTTTTAATAAGATATTGACATCTAATGGAGAGGCTTCAAATGGATGGGCTACTTAAAAGTTTGCTTTTACCTGTAACCTTTTTGGGATTTTTTTTATCCACTGAGGGAAAGGTAGAGGGTGGGGGAAGAATGGGCATTATCATCCACTTTTGATGTAATAAATTACAGGAACAAACGAGGTCTAATTTTTCCTCACTCAAGCAGGTTTTTTTTTCCTACATGCTAACATGCTAAATACATATTGAATAAAAATGTTACTTTTGTTAGTTGTGCAATACAATAGTGTAGAATGTATTATTATTATCATATTATTACCATTATTATTATTAATTAAATTCAGATAGAGCACTCTTGAAATTCTTACCCTCTGCTACTGTGAGAAGGTTGCCAAAGTCTGCTGTGTTCATTTGTGATGGTGGATCAAAACTCTTAACCTGACCTAACATTAGGTCATAGTCACTAGACAAGTCGGACAAAGTGAGAAGATAGTGGCTCTGTTGGGTGTGCAGGTTGGAGCCAGACACGCAGCAGTGCAGCACCTGAGTAACAGGAGAAAAAAAGGGTAGTGAAGAGTGTGTGTTTTACCTCTAATATAACAACAAGTGGAGCTTTGATTACTTTAACATGTAACAATAGAATCTCATTAGATACGTTGGTGTCTGGCAAGACACATTGCACAGTGATGTTTTTGCAGACCTGATTTAGCTGGACAAGCTTCTAGATCATATGGTCTATTTACATCATAAGGCAAGGGTGGGAGGAGAGGGAGCAAAGAGGGTCTTTATTGCCACTAATCCATTTCTCCTGTGATGTGTGAGTGTATCGATCTACATAACAGATGGCAGAGCATCCGTTGGCAGTGCTAGATAAGGCGCAGTGGGGCAGTTGATTACAGCCATTGGACAGGTTTACACTGTTTGATTTAATTAAGACATTATCCTTGAGCTCAGCTCTCACCACAAACATACTTGCTTACCCACAAATACACGCACAGACACCTGTATAATGTAAAATCCAAGTGGAGATAAAATTGTTCAAGGGTGCAAAACATATGCCAAATGTATGTAGATGAGGGTGCCTCTTATTCAGACTGGAACAACTTGGGCAAAGCCATGCAACGGCTAATCCCATTCAATACAGGCACATACGCATACTTGGCTGAGAGACGCTCGGAGAGGCAGGTTGGCCATGTGAAACAGTATTGTGTAGGGCAATGTAGACAGTATGTGGATGCTTCTACCAAGCAGACCTCTGAGTGCATGGGGGAGGGATTGGCGGCTTGATGCTGAAAAGACCTGAACCAAACAGCTGCTACACCAAAGCCCCAAAGAGCTTCCTCGGTGGAGAGGTAAAAAGGGAGGGGGTAAACCCACGGCTGTGCCTGACAAGAAAGTGGTTGCATCACGCATAGCAACAGTTCCTGGAAGGTAACGCAGTAAAACAAGCATAGTATTTACTATTGAAAATGTGAGTACATTTTGTACACATATATAGAATAATAAAAATGCTGAGATGTGCGCCTGAGCACAAACGTGGATATGATATTCTTGCTGTCTGTCTCCTTTAGACACACACACACGGGTGGGGTGGGGGGTGGGGGTAATGCAGCTGTCTGTTAGGGCAGGCAGAGAAAGGAGATGGAGAAGCTTAAGTACAATTTTAATGAACGAGGTCTAGTGAAATGTAGCGTTTTACAGCCACCTCTATGTTTGTAGTTACTAGAGACAACTCTACTCTGCACGCACGGTGGGCCCTTCATCAGCAGTGTACAGTGTTTTTCTTTTAATGGCTATATAAATAAATAAATCACGCTTTTCTAAAACTATTCAAAATGGTAATTACAGGGGAGTGAACCATGAAAGACGTTGTCACTGACACTAGCCAATAATGGAATAAAAAGGAGTTGTTTCCCATTAGGGATGATATTCTCTGCTTGGTAAACAGAATAATTAGAAGCCAATGTGCCAGTGGAAATGTTGAGATTTTGGTCTTGATTATTGCATTAATATTGTCACACCTCGAATGGAACCCAGAGTGTCCGTGCCTTTTGTGTGTCGATAGACAACCAATCATGCCTAATTGTATTTGCTTTCATAGCAGCTGCAGTCTCTCTCATATTAAGACATATTCCATTCAAATCTCCAGGACAAGCATTTAGAGCCGGAGCTTATCAATTGGACAAAAGGTCCCGTTTGAATAATTGGACCATTTCTTATCAGGGGTGACATCCTTACAAAGATCTGCCGTTGACCGCATCTGCCCAGACAGGAGGGAATGAATAATACCTCATTCATTTCTGCCTGAAGCTTGGCCCTCATCCTCAAGGTTGAATCATAAATTAAAAAGTTAGAGGGACAGAAACGGATACCCCAATTTATTTCTGGATATTTTACAAGTTTTAAACAATCAACTAAATATTAGAGTGGGGCTGTAAATGTTTTTGTCATACAACCAACTCTAATCCCATGCATCAGCTACAACGGGTGCCTCTATATGGTCATTTCACTATAATGTTAAATGAGGCATGGTCATAAGGTCACAGTGGAGGTGAGTCTAATTAAAGCTGCAATCCCATGTGGCAGGATGTGGGTGGAGGTGTCACAGCTGAAGATGTGTCTGTAGGCAAAGGTTATTAATGTTCCAACAAAACAATACAAATCAAATCAATAAAAAATGTGGCCAAATTCAGTTTTGCAAAAATGTTGCAACTGAAGCTTTGAGATTTCCCACCTCTGAGCTGCGAATACCTACCCTGTAGATGTAATCCAAAAGTGGGACCTTGTGAGATGTGTGGTGCTCCAGTGAAGACATGGTAATGGGTTCTAGCAGCAGACTCAGGGGAACAGCCATACACCAGTCCAGCAGGCAGAGCAGCAGTGACACCATTAACTGAAAGTGGAAGAAAACAGTGGTTTATTTTTCTGTTTAATCAGCTAACAACAAAGTAAACATGTGGTCAGTATAGAAAAAAATAAGATGAGAAATTAAATAAATGAGAGCTACATAGAGAGAGGATACAAAGAGGAGAATGAGAGGAAAACAGATGGCAACAAATCACTTCAGTGGAGACATTCCTCTGCAAATGCATCATTCCAACATGATGGATCAAGGGTCTTTAGATCTCAGTCATATCATGTCCCCTCACTGTTCAATATGTACCTTTTTGTCTGCCTCCACTGTTGAGTGCTCTGCACTTGGCAACAAAAAGGCTATTGTGGCCACAAAGATCTGTGTTGGGACAAAACAAGGAGAAAATAACTGGACGAAACAGTCCTGTTCATAAGCTGAATCTGGGCTGTGTACATTTAAAAAAATAAAATAAAACTGTGGAATTTGGAGTATTCATATGTATAAGTAAAAAATACTTAGAATTTTAAAATCTTATTTATTACAATTACATAAGCCAGTGTTAGTTTAGTTCTCTATACGCTACCTCAATAATTTTCTTCGGGAAAGAGCGCTCCAACTTCTGCAGATGTTCCCAGTGACAGATCAGCAGGTGAAACACGTCACATGCAACTTGAGCCACTGCCTTGTTCCCAAACTGCAAAACAAAAGAGAATATTATGAACAGAGCGATGAGGAAAATGACCTGGCTTGGTAGTAAAAAGTAAACCAACATGCATCCAGTTCAAACATTATTGTGCACGTAAAAGTGACAGAAGTCAATGGTTTTTCCAAGCAAAATGAGGCTTTCTCAGTGCCAAACCATGAATAGGTCGATGGTTTACAAACAGGAGAAGTGGATATTACTCCTAAATGCTTTGAGGAAATTGAGTCAGTTGCATCCGAAGCACCATCAGACAAACCAAACGTGACCACACTATCAGAAGATCAATACAAAAATCTTTAAACTGAGATATTACAAGCTTTTCATAGACAAAGAAGGGCTGTTGCTACACAGAAGTTCAATTATCAAAAGTCCTGACAGAAGGCCGACTCACTCAGGTCTCAGAGGGTGAGCGGGGTCTTTGAAACCACTCGTCCAGAGAGGAAACGAGGTCAAATATTTTCAGGGTGGGCAAACACATGATGACATTTAACATTTGTTAAATGAATAATTGAAATTTCTGATTGATGAAAGTGGGACTCAAAAATAAAATAAATTGGCTAAAAACAACCTTAAGCTGTATTGTCAATGGAGGACTACGTTTTAAACCCAAATACAAAATCTTTGAACACCATATAATATTTGAATGTAACTAAATTATGTATAATAAAGGATTTTTTTTTAGAATACCATTTTTAACATGCTACTTAGTGATATGAATGGCATGCTAATACTGATATAGAATAAATAACACATGTAATTCTTATTTTCATTGTAGCTAGAAAAATACCTAAAAAGTGAATTTTTTTCTGATTTAAAAAACGACTTTCAAACCAAAAGTTTTATACTTTTACTTAAGTTATGATGTGCATCTATTATAAAGCGGTAATTATTTGCTAATTTACTGATTTTTATAGGGTTTAATCCATCTTGTAGACTTTCCATGGAATAAATAGTTGGGACAAACATTTTATACTTTTTAGGAATTACTTCACGTTTCATTTCCTCTTACTGGACACTGTATGTCACTTAAATACCTAAATTTAAAGCAGAAAGCCATTGCTTGGCAAATATAATAGGTAAAAAAAAGTTTGAATGAAAACACATTTTCTCTGACAAAATCCAGAGTAATTTTCCTTAAATTTGGTTTTACGCTTACTGTGCAGATTATCAGCATAATTTCATTTCACTTCAAAACCAGGCCTCATTTTCTCCAGACTCATTGGAGGAAAGAATTGAGCCGTTGACAATTTTCCTTCAAATGTGGATTTCTTCAGTGATTTGAAATTCTTTGTGGAGAAATAGAATTTCCCATTTCTTCCAGCTGAATGCCTCTCAACATGTAACAAGGGCAGACAATGTGGGGAGTACAGAAATGGCCAAACACAAAAAGGGGCCCTGAGAGTTCAGCACCTGCTTTTAGAAAAGAGACTCTCAGTGCCACTCTTCCCCCTAGATCTCCCACCCAGCCCATACCCTCTATTTTGGGGCTGGTTGAGTCTGTGTGTCAAGTTGTACAGGGGAGTGATTACTGCTCCATTAGAGAAGGGGGGTGGGGGGTTATGGGAGGTGGGGGTGCTCGAGCAGGAAGCTGGGAGATGTAGCTGCTTAAATTGGCCCACATCTACTGAGAGTGAGCAGCCTGGAAATTACGCCACCGCCCAAAATCCTTTTCCATGAGTAAAAAAAATAAAAACAGGCAGCCTCCACTGGTTCTCTGCATCTCTTCACTCAGGGAGAAAAGAGGGCTCCTCTAAAATATAACCATGTCACATCACTGGACATGTTTTATTCTCACAGCTTTTCTTGCTTCTCTATGTTGAAACTGTTCTGTAGTCCTTTTATGTAATCAACTCTCGTTTGCAATATAGCAATATTGTATGCATATCACATTTTATGTTTAAGTTGGGGACTTTAAACTGTGGACAAACATAAAGCAACAGAAACAATACAAGTACAGGTGCATCGCAAAAAAAAAAAAATAATCCGAATATTGTGAAAAAGTTCTATTTTTTGTCAATCATTTCAGAAAGTGTAACATATATATTTATTAAATTGGTTCATCGGTGCATGAACATGACAAAGCACTGATTATTCTTTGTATAGATACTGTATGAATGGGTAAATGAGGGAAGAAATTGTGTTGTAAAGCACTTTGAGTATCTTGATAAAGATAGAAAAGAGCTCTATATGTACAGTCCATTTACCATTTATAGTCCATTACACATGGAGTGAACTATTCCAAGCCTTTGTTTATTGCAGTTTTGATAATTATGGCTTAAAAATAACAAAAAGTCAAAAGTCAGTGTGTCAGAAAATTTGAATAATTGTGAAAAGGTTCAGCATTGTAAACTCCTGGTGGCCTGATCAGCTGATTAACTCCTAGACATGAGCTACAAATGTTTAAATCCTCAAGTTGAGCCACTCCTGAACCAGAGACATCAGAAGCGTCTTGCGGAGAAGAACTGGACTGTTGCTCAGTGGTTCAATGTCCTCTTTTCAGATGCAAGTACATGTTCATGTCATTTGTAAATCAAGGTCCCAGAGTTTGGAGGAAGAGTGGAGAGGACCAGTATCCACGTTGCGTGAGGTCCAGAGTGAAATTTCCACAGTCAGTGATGGTTTGGTACCATGTTCTGTGTTGGTCCACTGTGTTTTCTGAAGTCCAGTCAATGCAACATCTACCAGGACATTTTAGAGCACTTCATGCTTCCTTCTGCTGATGAGATTTATGGAGATTTGATTTCATTTTCCAGCAGGGCTTGGCTCCTGCCCACACTGCCAAAGGTACCTAAAGCTGGTTATGTAATATTCTAATTTTTTGAGACACCGAGTTTTGGCTTTTCATTATAATAATGAGTATATATAGTAATATTTTTTCTATCCTTAACATGTGGTTTTTTTTTGTCTTTCAGGTACACTTGGACCTATACCTGGACCTACCATTCTGTGTTCGTTTGTCTCTCCTTCCTGTCCTCTCATACCAGCAGGTCAAAGCAGATGGCCGCTTGTCCTGAGCCTGGTTCTACTGGAGGTTTCTTCCTTTTAAAAGGGAGGTTTTCCTTTCCACTGTTGCCACTGTGCTTGCTCAGGATGGGAGACTGCAATGAAGCCAAGATTCAACTTGTCTGCCGGATTCCTTAGATAGAGAACTTTACTAATTGGCTTTTTTTTTATGTGTGAATGTTCCTGTAAAGTGCCTTGAGACAAATTGAATGTGATTTGGCGCTATATAAATAAACTGAATTGAATTGAATTATCTGTAGACCATAATCATCAAAATTACATGAAATAAAGGCTTGAAATGTTTCACTCTATGTGTAATGAATATGTAATACTGTATGAGTTTCTTTTTCTGAAACGATTGGGAGGAAAAAAGGAACTTTTTCACAATATTCTAATTATTTGACATGCACCTGTGTCTGTCACGAACCTTTAGGGTTACTCCCAGAACATTGATGGCATCTTTAACCTGGGGGTGGATGTCCTTTTGCATTACCTCCTCACACACCCACAGGCCCAAGCTGCACACAGCAATGCACCTAAATGACAGAAATAAGGTAAAATAAAAACATGGAACTTTAAGGACAGTTTATTTAAATTGTACAAAGAATCAAGAAAGCAATTCAACCGCTACAATTAAGAAGAAAAATATAAACTTCAAAAGCAATTCTCTGCATTCACAAGGTTTTCAAATTTTACAGTGAACAATATCTAAGAAAAAAGTAAAAGAAATAGAGAAATTACATTTCCTGCAAAAATGCAGTGTGAATGCTTATTGGTGAAGAACTTGCTGAAAAACAGCTGAAATTAGATTAAAAAAACATGCTGATTGTAGATGAAATAGAATAACAAGCCCAAGTTAGCAGAAGAAAGCATAAATAGCACATATTTGCTGAATTATGGAAGAAGTGGGTAAAAAGATAATGGATGGATGTTTAAATAAGCAGAAATAAGCACAAAATTTAGAAAATTAGCTAAGAAAGCTAAAATTAACAACAAAAAAATGCTGAAAAGCAGCTGAAATAGCAGAAAATGCTACAGCTAACAGAAAAAAGCTGAAAGGAGCATAACAAGCTGAAATTACCATAACAAACTTAATTGTGTTGAAAGTAGCTAAAATTACAATGAAAACTAACTTATCTGAAAACAGCCGAAATTAGCTAAAAACATGCTAAAAAAAGGTAGCTGAAAAGGTAGAACAAGCAGAAGAAAGCAGAAAGAACATGTATGACCAATTAGGCTTAAAGAAGCAGAAATGAGCAAAGAAGTGGAAATTATCTGAAAAAAGATTAAATAAATAAAAAAACAGCTGAAAAGTAGCTAAAATGGCAGAAAGAAGCTTAAGCTACCAGAAGGAAGCGGAAAGAACTGAAATGATCTAAAAATGTGGAATTAGTTGAAAAAAAATTAAATTAGCATAAAACTGCTAAATAGTAGCTGAAATAGCAGAAAAAAGCTGAAACTAGCAGAAAAAAGCTGAGAGGAGCATAACAAGTTGAAATTAGCAGAAAGAAGTCAGAAGAAGCACAAAAATGTTGTAGTTAGCAGAGCGAATCAGAAAGGATCGCAAAACAGCTGAAAAAAAAAAAGAGTTGAAATTAGATGAAAGTAGCTGGAAAAACATTTAAATTTGCACAAGGAAGCTGAAAGAAGCTGAACCAGAACAACATGTGAAAGGAGCGATAAAAGGTTGTAAACAGATCTAAAGATATGTAGGATGTAAAATGAGCTCAATTAATTTTCTATGAGGAAAAAAATGGCGGAAAAGGCTAAATATTTAAAAAAAGCTAAAGTCGCACCAATACCAAAAGTCATAGCAGGATTGTCCTGAACAAGCTGAACGTTTTGATATACCAGTTGTTGAAATAGCACATAAAATTGTTGAAAGAGAAAGAAGCCAAAAAACGTATGGAAGAAAAATGGATCAGATTAATGATTACGATGACTAGATTAATGATATCTAAGGGTTAGTAACTAGACCATCAATGTGGATCATACCTTGCTCCTTCACAGTGTTCCTTTGTAGCTGCCTCCAGCAGGATGTTGACCAGATAATCCTGAACACAAGTTCTTCACAATCACTTAAATAACTTTGTGTGCAATTTGATGAATGTAAAAGAGTAACTCCTCATTTCTACACATTCTGTTTCAAATTGTAAATATTCTCTAGAGTTTTGGAAAGTCTTTCAAAGATTTAATTTTCTGGGATTGCATGCTTTTTCAATTTTGTAAATGTTTGTTTGTTTGTTAAGGTACTTAACATTAAGCTATAAATCATTCAGGCATAAAAATGTTCCAAAAGTCAAGGGATAAGCAAGTGTTGTTGACACAAACAAGCTCTTGAGCTTTAATGTTAGTGTCAGTTTATTCATATAGCACATAAAAACAAAGTTGATCAAGGTGCTTTACAAACTGGTCAAATAAAAAAGTAAAACAGCTGTAAAAAAATAAAATAAAATAAAACAACAACAACAAAAAAATCACTAAAATAAAATATAAAAATACATCATTAAACCATCAACCCTGAAAAGATCTCAAACTCTGGGATAAAAGCCAAGGAAAAAAGGTGAGTCTTGAGCATATGTTGATGAAGACGTAAACAAATCTTTTTGGAGCAACAACTGCAAAAGCTCGATCGCCTCTAGATTTTCATTTGGATCTTGGAATATCTAGAAGAAACTGGTTGGGTAACTGGAGTTCTTTAACTGAACTGTAAACGTTAAGATCTAATAAGTATGATGGGGCCAGACCTTTAAAACTTTAAAGGCAAGATGTAAAATCTTAAAACCAATCCAGAAATGGACAGGAAGCCAGTGGAGAGAAGTGAGGACGCTGGTTATATGTTCATGTTTTTTAGTTCCTGTTCAAAGACGAGCGACGATTTGTAAGCAACGCAGAGATTATTTATCCAAACCAGCATATAAAGTGTTACAATAGTCCAATAGAAGTAGAAAAACATGAATCACCTTTTCAAGATATTTTGTCCTCCTCTTGCAGGTAGGGGTCTAACAATACATCTATTTACATCGACATAACAATGTCTAATTTAATTTGCATGTCAAACAATTATAGTTGGTATTTTTGGGTGTATCCAACTAAAACAATGGTAAATTATATCCTTGCAACAAGCTGCTCTGGACAACTTAAAATGAGTTTTATGATAACCTGTTTGTATGTGTAAACAAAACATTAGCTTATCCCTTTTGTTGGGCATCTAACCACTTGCTGAATGATTAATAAGTTTGTAGGTTAACAAAGACAAAAAATATATATCTTCTGTTGACGGCTGATTATGTACATTGATTGAAAAGGATAAAAAATACTTTGAAAGACTCAGAAAACCTGTTAAAAGCCTCAAAGTTTAAGCTGCTTTGAACCAAAATACAAAAGAATGAGGAGTTGCTTGAGACTTCTACTCTAAATTTTATATAATGATGCATCACACTCATGCAGCTTGATCTATAAAACTCAAATTTCAATATTTGACTATTACCACAGTAGATAACTAATTGACTTGTAATGGTACAGTGTGCAGTTTTTGTTTACAAACTGTTCTATAGTTTTCTCAGTTCTGCACTTGTTGAGCATCTTTACCTTAATATCTTCATTGCCTATATGGATGTCATTAGAGCCAGCCATGTGCTGCAGAATAGGGATCTGGAGGTAAAGGTTGGGAAAACAAACAAGGGAGCCCAAGAACGTCTGAGCCTCTATCCTTGGAGCCTGGCAAAGATTACAGAATAATAAACAAACAAACAAACAAACACACACTGTAAAAACATTGGACTATTTATTAGAATTAAAATTAACAGAAAATGTATTTCCAAGAAACATAAAGTCTGTTATCTAGGGGGACAATATTTGAGGAATCTACTAGAATAAACTTCATATTTTTATATTTGTGCAATATTCAATAGAAAAACTTGTGGTAAGCACTACACAAGAAAATGAATAAATTGAAAAGTGAATAAATGCATGACGGTTGCAGCTGTTTTATCATGTCACACCAGATGAGCTGCTGTGAAACTAAAACAACAATAAACTATCCAGTCAGTTACATACCAAGTACCAGAAAAGGAAGAAAAACACAAAACCAAAAATAAATAAATACCGGACACCAAATATTTAAATTTCTGCACACTACTAGCAAGTAAAGTTGGCATTTACTGTATAAGCTTGTCAGCATTTTCTCAAAATAATGGTGTCTACAAGTTGAGCACAAATTTGTAAATATTGTATGTAGGACTGTGATCTGTATGGTCAAATGTAGATGCCATACTGCAAACTTTGAGACAATATTAATGCTTTCCATATTATTCATAGGTATTTTTAAAGTTTAAAATCAAATACTTTCTGCTTGTCACATACTGTTTGTCAAACACAGTTGCAGGTACTGTTTAGGGTTTATTTAATTATTACTTTTTCAAAAACAGAAGAACGCCTTGCTGTTCGTTGGTCAAAGGAAAATAACGTGCAAAAATCTTTGAATGAACTACAGAAAGTCTGCAAAAATATTTATCAAGAACACTTCAAACACTTGGAATCCTGCCTCCTTAAAAGCAATGTGTTAAAAAGCAATATATTAAAAAATACGTAAAACTCTTGTACATTAATGTAGAATTAAGTCATAGATGCCATTAAGAATTCAATAATAAAATTTGAAAAAAAAAAACTTGTCTGTACCTCTGGGGATTCAGAAGTGAGGACACGGGCAGAAGCGGTGATAAAATCTCCAAGCAGCATAGTAAAACCTGGGAGGCCAAGGAAGAAGAACCGAGGAGAGCAGGAACGAACGATGGTGTTCAGAACATCCTGGTGACAAACATCAGCAGGAAATAAAGTCAAACTTAAGTGAATTATATTCATGCAGCACATTTTACAGATAAAACTTACAAAGGGCTTTGCAATAAAACCATTCTTTAACATATCAAAACATAACTTTCTGTACAAAAAAACATGAAACAAATGGTCAAAAACTAAAAATTGTATGAGTAAGTTTTCAACCTCTTTATAAAGAAATCAACCCTGTTAATAAATTGAAACTGCTTCTTCAAACAATCCTATTAGCTTTCTGCACCATATTTTATCCTGTTCAACTTAAAACAATTTATTTTGTTCAGATAAATTAGCTTTGTTATTGTTTTTTATACTTAAAAACAATGGTTTTTGTTCATGAGATCCTCCCATTCCTGAACAGCTAGGGCAGGGGTCTACAACCTTTACGATCAAAAGAGCCATTTTTCACCTTTGCTCACTACATTAAACGTGTCTGGAGCTGCAACAACCTCCTGCACCTTTGGTTATCAACTGGTGGCCCATGGGCCACTTTAGAATTGCTGGAGAGGGCTTTTGTGTCCAGTAAGGATGACATTATAAAGCAAAAAAATCTAATGATTTTTAACATTTATTAAAGAAAAAGACCAGATCCTTGTAACGGGTATGGGGGACATTTTTCAGTTTTTTTGTTTTTTAATTAATAAATCTATAAACTATGCAGACAGTTCTTCATATAAAGAAATAAAGCATCAAGTTAAAGTTTTATTCCTTGTACTTGCTCCAGTGTTCACATATTTGCAAAAGAAACGACAGAAAATCTGTTTGAACTCATCCTTTTTTGTTGTTTGTAGAACCAATAAAATTCAGTTTTATACCAGTGTAGTGAACTAGGCCAAAGCTTTGGTCAAAGCTTGAAAGAGCCACTAAAAAGGGACCAAAGGGCTTCATGTGGCTCTAGAGCCAGAGATTGCAGACCCCGGAGAAAGGGAGTAATAAAAAATACAAACTAAATTCAAGCCGATTGTTCACAAGGTTAATTCACAAGGTTATTCACGAGGATGACTTGTTGTGGTGACCCCTGAAGAGGGAAAAACCAAAAGAAGAATATGATTCACGAGGTTAATAACAAAAATGGTCCTAGAAGGAATATATATGGTAAACCAAAAACAGAATTGGCCCTAAAACACCATCTTGAGGGTCTCCCACATGACAGGCCGGTACAATTTGACATGACCTGAATTACAAAATTACTGAAACCTCTGACATAAAACCAAAGTACATAATATTAGAGAGCAATCCCCTGAATCCACCCCAAACAATTTGTGTGCTAATATTTCCTGGTAATAGAGCAGGACAACATATATTTGCAGGAACAAACAGCATATCATTTTAATCAGAAATAGAGCTATAGAATTTCAGCAATTCTCCACTAGATTAGATTTATGTTTTGGCTTCTCTTTGCTACTAGCCTTGAGTTTTATTAAAGCTATAACAGAAATAATTTGTAAATGGGTCACAGTACGAAAGCCGTAACAGGGAGAAAGCTTTTTGCCAGCACAAACAAAATGCATATTTTAGGCATGCTGATGAAAGGAAGACAGCAGTACATGACACTAAAAGACAGAAAAATCAGGGAAGGAAAGCAAAAAGGGAGAGACAGCAGATGGATTGTTCACATTGAATAAGAGGGAGAACAAAAGACCTCAACTTTCATGAGTCATCTATAGGTACACTCATAATCAAACCTGTAATTAAAGCCAGAGACAAGGTATTGTTTAGCTGAGGTACAGCGTCTCAGTGGCAGATGGGTACTCTTTCAACACTGACATATGCTCAACAGTAAAGGGTTTTGTACTAACTGCTTAAGTATGTACAACATAATAACACACATACACATTAAGATGATAAAAGGCTCCCCCCCCCCCCCATCTACAGCAAAAAAAAACAACAATATTTATTTTCAATGACAAGAGGAAACATCTTCAGAAAAAAAGACACTGGTATGAGAATGCATCATTGACAGAAAGACTGTTCTCGCTTATCTCAGACTTGTTTGTGCATATTGGTGTACAAAGGCAAGGTCCAGGTTAGAAACACCTGCCTTTGTGGCTATAAACTTGTGCAAATCGGACAGTTCAAACATCACTGTTTCTACGTGAACCAAAGGGCATCTTGGCAAACAAATACATGCAATTTTCCTCACAGTAACAAAACACAATTACACACTGTACCGCCTATGTATTTGTGGCATAAATAACCCAACCCTTTGGTAAACAGGGGATGCAGGTGAACAAAAGAAGAATAGAATAAACACATGAACGTAATAAGCAGGAAGTCAAACCAACATCAGCACCGCATGTGGAAAATTGGTGGGAAGAGTTTTAGAGCTGAGGGCCAATTTTACCCTCATTTTGTTGGTAATTGACCTCTGAAGCATAATGTGCAGTGCAGTCAGAGGTAATTAGCAGGCAACAAACTGTTTCTTGATTGCTCAAAATAAGCATTTTAGAGGAAGCTACAAATGTAGACTGCAGTGCTAATGTAGAGAAATGTAGAGTGCTTTCAATTGTATGTGTAAGAGGGGACCCGATTTCATGTGTGAATAAAGAAATCAGAATTGAGAAATGTGGAATAACTGCATGTGGCGCTGTGTTGGCAGTAAGAACGGCTCCTGCAACAACAAAAGGTGCATTAACGTAACTGAATGGAGCCACCTCAGGCCTTTTTATTTGGCCTCAGCTCCAGGTAAGAATGTGCTTCAGCTGCCCCTGGGGTGAAAGGGTTCATCCTAGCATTTCATCACTGCTAAATTTATTTTTGTCTCAGTTGCTAAATTTTGCCAATCTTAATTTAAAAAGGAATTAACTTCCTTTTGCAATTCACGAGCTTTTGCACTCACAGATGATAAGAAATACAATCTGCTTGTGCAGCTATCACAATAGGTGGGATGAGGTTTTATCAAAAGCCAGTTGATTTTGTGTGTTTTGTGTTCACATCCCTATATTTCACAAAATATACAGCAATTTCAACCTAGACTGAAAACTGTTTAGATAAATTGACTTTTAAAGATAGATCACTACAATTGTGCTTCCATCATACTTTTGAGAGCAGTAACCAGCAAGTGACACAGAAACAGGACAATAGCCCTGACCTTGGCACTCAGTCAGTTGGAGGGAGAACCTCACTAAAAGAGGTGTAGTTGACTCTAATGGTGAGGACAGATTTTGAGATTCCTTGCTCTTGTTTACAACACAAAGACGTTTAAGACAATTTGCTTTCCTTGATTGACAGGTAAGATTAAGTAAAATATTTAAAATAAATAAATAAAAGAAACATTTTTAAAAAATTGCACAAACATTATCCTAGACAGTTTGCATAATTAGCCTTAATAGATGTCAATGTTCAAGTTGTGTTTATATATTTTTGAGGATTTTTTTTTTCAATAAGCATATGCAATATATATATATATATATATATATATATATTGTGCAGTAGGGGGTAGGGGTGGTGGCAGAAAGGAAGGAGGAGGGAGGGAATAAGAGCCACTTTCTTATGTTAAGCAGGCGTGCGGCTGTCCTCCATTGTGTGGCGTGAGGACTCTTTTCTCTGGCCAATTTGAGCATGCTTCAGTGGCCAGCCTGGCTCTGGCCCCCTAACGCATTATACAGAGCAACAACAAAAGCTGGAGAATGCTGCCTGGTCTCTCCGTGAGCCCCCGTCATTGCTCTACTCTAGACTACGTTCCCCAGGCTCCCCTCCCGCTCCTTCACACATTCGAGCGCGCACGCACACGCAGTCCAGTCTACTCTGGGCCACTGGCCGACGTGTCAGTCTAACAGAGCACGACAGACGTCAATCCTTAATTAATCACGTATACACGGCAGGGGCTCAAAACATTATTTAACGACATGGAAAACATTCTAATAAGCTTGTCTCACTGCCAAGGCACAACAGAACCCAGCCAAGAGAGAATATGCACATACATATACATATATATGCAAGTACACATATATACATAATGTAATACATAATGCATACATATGTACACACACACACACACACACATATATTATATATATATATATATATATATATATACACACGTGTATACACATACATATATACATATATATATATATACATACATATATATGTGTATATATATATATATATATATATATACATACATATATATGTATATATATATATATATGTGTATATATATATATATATATATATATATATATATATATATGTGTATATATATATATATATATATATACATATATATATAAGGAATGTGCAATATGGCATAAAATTCATATCACGATATGTATTGTGAAGGGTGGCGATAACGATATACATTGCGATATGTTTTTGGTATACAACTTGCAATATGACAAAAGCATAGGGTGTCCTTTTGCCATTATATATTTTGAATTAAGAAAATTCCACTACTAGGTCCAGAGAGTTTTTAAATAATAAACAAATCAAGTATTAGGCTTCTTCCTTGTGCAAAACACATATACAATGGGAAATGGGACGATAATTGCATGAGAAACTGATTTTAGTGATTTTTTTTGTTTGTTTGTTTTAAAAACAATTGTCTGAACTTCATTTATATTTCAGAGCACTACCTCATGGCCAGTTAAAACAAGTTTGTATTGTTTCTAGGATAGTGTTCAAGGGTCTGTTTTTCAACAAAATAATATTGGAAAATTGAAGGTGCATTGTGACCTTATAACACCTGACAGTGTCGCTTATAAAATAAAATCAGTATCGGACAAAATCGGAATCAGCAGGTCAGACTTTTTAGAAATCGTGATCGGTCAGAAAACTGCAATCGGTGCACCCCTAATAAATTATATAAATTATGATTAT